CAAGTCGTCGTCCACTGGGTGGCCCCTGCAACAACACTGCTCCAATCCCTTGTTCAGAAGCATCTGTTTGCACAATAAATGGTTGATTAAAGTCAGGATTATGCAAAATTGGGTCCTTACTCAGGGCATTCTGGATGTCATGTAAAGCGGTCTTTGCTTGCTCCGTCCACTTAAGTCAATTAGGGGATCTTGAGCCCACCATGTCCGTTAAGGCTGCTGCTCTGCCAGAGAAATTGGGAATAAATTGGTTTTAAAAGCCTGCTATACCAATGAATTGCCTTAATTATTTCCATGTTTGAGGTAGAAGACACTGTTGAATGACTTGAACCTTCTTCATCTGGGGTCTGACCACCCCTTTACTAATGATATAGGCCATATATTCAATTTCAGTTCAAGCCACAGCACATTTAAGCGGATTGATGGTGAGGCCGGCTTGTTGGAGTCGCCGCAGCACTTCTTGTAGATGTTGCAGATGCTGTTCCCAAGTGTCACTGTAGATAACAATGCCATCTAAATAAGCGGCCGCAAAAGACGAGCCCTGTAATATCTGGTCTATGAGCCTCTGAAATATAGCTGGAGCTCTGTGCAGGCCAAAAGGAAGGACCCTAAAATGAAATAGCCCCCACGGGGTCCTAAAGACAGTCATCTTTCTGGATTGAGGAGTCAGGGGAACTTGCCAATAGCCTTTGGCAAGGTCGATGGTGGTTAGATATTTACTTTGACCCACGAGGTCAAACAAGTCACTTATCAAACTTAGAAACAGAGTTAAGGTAGCAGAAATCAATGCAAAACCTTAAGGTTCCATCTTTTTTAGGGACTAAAACCACGGGATGGCACTACTCACTCGTAGATGGCTCGATGATTCTCAATGTCAGCATCAGATTAATCTCTTTCCTCGAGGAGGCCTGTAAATGCTCAGGTATTCGATAAAGCATCTTTTCAACACAATCTCGTGTTAAATCAATGTAGTAGCTCCTGGATACTCAGAAAAAAATATCAAGGTGGCAAAGAGCTCTCACCTGTGCTTGGCTATCCTTTGGCATCTTTAGAACTCTCTGATGATGCAACTTCCAGATTAACAAAATCTTTGTCGATAAGTTTCTGAATTAATGTCATGCTTTCTCAGAATAGCTGATTTCACACTATCATAATCAAGAGAATCGTCAATGTCCATTTGCACATATGCTGCTCGAGCTTTACCGGTCAGCAAGGGAATCAAACAGAAAGCCCAATCAGACTTAGGACAACCACAAGCAGCAGCAATTATTTCAAAAGTTATCAAGAAGTGTTCTACATCATCAAAATCACTTAGTTTTTCTAATTTAGCTTCTTTAAACTGACCTTTATAGTCCATTTGATGAGGCTCTCTTTCATTTCCCTTAGACTGTGACAATGGTTGGCTGGAATCATGGTCACCATCCTGCGTTTCTCCAGGACACAAATTCGCAGCAAGTGAATCAGGAGTAGGGGTACTATGAGCTTGCACCTACATCTGAAGCAAGCCAAACTGATGCTGTAGGGCTTTAAATCGTCGTTCTTGTTCCTTTTGCTCCTGGGTTCTCTTAGCCTCCCGAGCATCCATTTGTGTCATGTGTGCTCAAAACAAACTTGTCAGATCTGCAAGCGTTGGCTCCCGACCTCCAGACTCCTCAGCGACCACTTACTCACTATCCTCCATTGTCCTCCTGTGCCTCCATTTGCACTGTCCTTTGTGCCCCTCTCCTTTCAGGCCGACTCATAGCTCATAAAAAAAGGCAGGGCGGACCAAAAAAAGGATTGGAAGAAAAAACTGAAAACCTGCGGCTTCTGCTGATCCCACTTCTGAAACTTCAATTCAAACAAAGTTACAAATTAAATCACTTAGAAACTAAATGGAAATAAAGAAAATAAAGGTCTGGGCCCATAAAAATGGTCAAATAAACAGAACCAAACTTAACAATATTCAAAACAAGGTAACAAACAAAAAGAAAAACGTGACCTCTCAAGCGACACATGAGGGGAACTTTTATACACAAAGGACTAGTCCATTACACACACTCACGCACACACACAGGGAATACTACAAACATCACTAAACACCATCAAATAATTAACTTAAAATAAAGAAATAGAACATAAACATCAAATGAATATACACATCAAATAATGGTTACACTTTACTTGAAGGGGTGTGCATAAGACTGACATGACACCTTCATAATCATGACATGACACCTACATAATCATGACATGACACATGTCATGAATATGAAGGTTTTTATGCATGTTTTTGACAACTGTCATTAAGTGTCATTCGCTCAGTTATGTAATTTTTAATGCAAAGATGACATTGTTTGAGATGTCTTTGTTATGGGCTATGGTTAGGGGTAAGGGTAGGGGTAGGGTTAGGTTAGGGTTAGGTCAAATAATGTCATATTTGCATTAAAAATGACATAACTGAGCAAATGACACTTAATGACAGTTGTCATAAACATGCATAAAACCTCCTTCATATTCATGACATGTGTCATGTCATGATTATGAAGGTGTCATGTCAGTCTTATGCACACCCCTTCAAGTAAAGTGTTACCCAAATAATTATAGTAAACAAAAATAGATAAATAAACAAATATTTTTTTCTTTGCTTCTCAAACGGAAGGCTGCATCCTAGTGAGGATCATTCTTCCTAGTCCAGTCCTTCTAAGACTTCAAGCCTAGTGTCCTGCCCAGTATTAAACGCTAGAATGAGATGCTCTGGTTAGTGCACATGGCTACATAATAAATGTTACCAACCCCCAGTCACAGCATGAAATACTATTAGATTTGTAATCTAAATAATAATTTATATTAAAAATCTTGATATGTACTGACTTTTTTCCAACAATTGTCTGTGGTCTCCCAGTGGTTTATATTATGCACAATTTAGCATTATGTGATTCATTTACAACAAAACAAAAGAAAACATAATACCTTAATCTCCATTTTTTTTGTCTTGCAGTACGTAATTGAACAAGCTCAGTGCAGATTCATTCAAATTTTCACACCTGATGTATCCTTCAAAACAAACCAAATGAAGGATGCAAAATGAAGGGCTTGACTAAATAGTCACACGTGTGGTCTTTGCACTTGTCTGCTTACATGACTTATTTCCTGTATTTGCCCCAAGTTTTCAAGTGCGCGTGAAGACGGTATAACTTTTGATTGCCTGATGGGACACAGTTACAGTGTTGTGAAAATGCAAGTGTTTGCAGAGCTTTATTTGATTTTCAGTATTTTACATTTTACAATAAATTTCAGTTCAGTAGTCCCCTATAGCATGATGTTGACACAATTTAGTAATTGTGGTGCTTCTAATTAAGTGAGAAAAAGCAGTTGCAAATGATGTACAAAATACAAATACTCATATTTGCACTAATAAACTGTACATCACTTTACTAACAAATTATAAGTATTATCTAATTAATTTAACTTAAAGTGGAATGTTTTCCTCGACATCTCATGATTTCCGGGGCATGTGAGTTCCTCAACATGATGCATGATTGGATACACAGCCTCGAATACCGCTTCAGAGCCATGCATAGTGTGGGTTTAGTGTGCGTTAAGGGCATGGAGCTTTGGCATTTTTCAGACCTGGGACAGTCTCACGCACTTACTTGCTGTTGTGTGCATGCACTCTCAAGTGGCCAAGACTGCAAGTGTGGGTATTTAGACAGGCTCAAAGACTACTTAGGATTCTTCAAATTGAGATGTTCATAGATGGGAACAAATAATGACTTTACTCAACAATTCTCCACCTCCTCAAAGAGAGTATCACGACACATGCACATGCTTTCCTCTGCATGTAAATGAAGCATGTGCATGGTGTCCTCTGCTCGTAAACAAGGCACAGCGTATGCATGATCAACGTAAAAGTAGCAAGTGTATGCGTCATTTACATGCAGAGGAAAGCATGCGCATGCGTCGTGATACTCTCCACATTGGAAGCACGCCGCAGCAGACAGGTTGAGGAGAAGAATCGTTGAATAAAGTCATTATTTTTGTTTTCTTTGTGCATAAAAAGTATTCTTGTTGCTTCGTAAAATTATGTTTGAACCACTGATGTCACATGGACTACTTCACAGATGTCCTTGCTATATTTCTGGGCCTGGGATTATTTCAGTTGTGTTGCTGTCTATGGAGGGTCAGAGAGCTCTCGGCTTTCATCAAAAATATCTTTATTTCTGTTACAAAGATGAACGAAGTCTTACTGGTTTGGAACCACATGAGGGTGAGTAATTAATGACATAATTTTCATTGTTGGGTGAAATATTATGGAAGCATATGGGTAGCAAAATTCATTTTGAAATGTAATATGCAAAATGTCATTGAAATATGTAAAATGGCAATGCATTTCTGTATTTAAATTTACATTTTCCCATACATATGTGCAACATTTAGTGCAAAATGAAAAGGAAAATTCAATTATATAATTTACATTTGCCATTTTCTACACTAGTTTTAATATGTAAATTAAAAAGTTATTATTAAGTTGCTAAATTACTGTAAATGAAATTGTATTACCCAAATTGATTAGATATGTTTAACATGTCCAAGCAAAAATTTTAGCAAAATTATAATTTAAATGCCATTTTTCCTAAATGCATTTAGACTTACGGGTACAGTAGGACACATGGGATTGAGTTCTAATCGTGATACCACGTGATAATTGTAGCAAAATTCAGTGTGAATTTCAAAATGCATTCTGAGCCAAATGTGCAGCAAAAGGGTAGCAAAATGGTGATTTAAATGTCTTTTATTTTTCTTAAATGCATTGACACTTACACTTAAGACGTTTCAATTGCATTTTCATTAAATACCTCACGATAATGTAGTTTAAGTCAATGTGGATTTGAAAATGCATTCCGAGTCGATCACGCCCCCAACCTGTCAATCATTATATCAAGACAGGGCTCGGCAACAAGACGCACAGTATGTCAGTATTCCCCACTAACCAAACGCTTTTCACCTGCCTCAACATCTCTCACTGTTTTACACTCCGATTGATGCACATAAGCAAACAGACAGTGCAATTCTACACTTTTACCTATTTGCTAGGGTCCCCAGGGATGCTGGGCGGGAGCAGCCCCAGCCGTCATCCAGCTCCTTGTACCGCCAAGCCCAGAAGCATTTGGGGACTTTGAGAGAGAAGACAGATCTACGGACCGTCATTCTCTCAAAGAAGTCCTTGGCTAAGAAGGCCTGATGTCGTGAGTGCCAGGCCTTTGAGTAGACACCTCAGCATACGGTGCCCGACCCTCCTCAGTATCCTCAGGGGGCCGCTCTGTTATCCCTGCCACCTCCGATGCTTCAGGACACAGTGATCTCCAGCGAGCACGGTTCTCAGCTGCCGCCTGTAAAGATCCACCCACTGGCCCAAAAAGCAGAATCCAGCGGCCTGGTCGAAGGTTTAATGCGTAATCGATCTTTTACTTGCGCCTCTTTAGTTTCAATTTTAGTCTAGCTCCGTTTTCAATCTGAATCCAGTTTCAAGTGATCATTAAATTTAGGCAATATTTCTAATTAAAAACTGATCACAAATATTGATTGTTTATTAATTTAGATATTTGAGTATTCTGGAAATCCCATACTTTCAATTCTTCGTTCATTAGGGACCAGGTATCGCACAGGAATTGCACTCGGCCGATTAGTGAACCAACGGACACAAACTAGTCCGTTCTGAACTTACTCAGAGGATGCAGAGTGGTTATAATACATTTAAGTGAGCTGCACCCTGCATGCTCATAACAAAAAGTGTATTTTTTTTCCTATAACCATGAGAGCTACACCGTGTTAAGCCAGTGACAGTCAGAAATCGGAAGCCCCTAATGGTGTTCCCCATGGTTCATCCATTGGTGCCTCGGTATGATCTGTCCTGAACGCAGATTTGCGGAAATACCACTACACATTAATCTACTTGGAAAATGATTTCAGAAGAGATCAGATTATGTCAAATATAACAATTTATTATTAGTCAGGTAAAATATTATGTTGCATATCATCGCAGCTTTGGATAAAAGCGTCTGCTAAATGACTAAATGTAAATGTAATTGTAAAATTGTATCATGCCAATTACATAATGAAACAATTAGAAGCCAATTTAGAGAGGATAATGCAATTGTGACTTACATTGTAGCCGCGTGGCAACGCTGCTCCTGTACATGGTTTACTGTAGCTATATGGAAAATATCCAAGTGTTCCACTCAGGAGACAAACAAATTTAACATAGTCACACATGCAACAGTTATCCTAATTTAACACAAGACACACGGTCTAAAATGCATAGCATCAACAACCTTTTACCTAAGTATTTCAAAGAACACTTACATCAAAGTAATTGTGTGTTTCTAAAGAATAAACTTAACTAGCCTATGTGCACATGTAGTAGCACAAACAACTATACAGTGTTCTCTATGGGCACAATGTGTTAAACACAATTACATTTTTGAATAAAAATGAAATGTATACCTGACTTCAGGAAGATACATAGTATGGAGCATATGAAATACACTCCACACTATGGGCTGATCTGGCTACAGAATCGCAATGACTGATTTGCACCTTTCCCTTAAATACTACCAGAACAAAAACAATAAATCTTTAATTCAGTTGTAAAAACATAAATTACCTTTAGTTTTTTTTTTTGTTCTCGTGCTCCAGGGTCGCACCTGGCTGGAGATAGATAAACATTCCCACAGGCCCTAAAGGGGGACACACACCCTCCTCAGCAGAACACAATTCTACAAAAGTCTTCAATCTTTCTCATAATATAAGTGACTACTGTCAAATTGAGACCAATTTACCAATCGCACAAAGACCTTTAGAACGATACCAAACATGAAAGGGAAAAAACATATTCACAAGATATAACACATGTGACATATGGATAGTCTTGCTTTTGGGGGAGAAGAGTGAGAGGGGAGAGTCAGAGGCAGGGAGGGGAGAGGGAGGAAGGTGGTCGTAAATGAACAGGGTGGTGTTGTTTGCTTTCTTTGGAGATCTCTTCTCCAGATCTGTTTTATTGCATGGCATCTGTTTTGTGTGAGTTCCTGAGTTTTGGCTTCATGAGGAATTAATTTCATAAGGAACTAATTTCACTCCTTACAGCCCGACAATGGTACGGCACAAGAATTCTCATCCGCTCCAGCAAGGGCGAAGGGCAGTTGTCAGGATGGTTGTACCCTGATGGTTATTTGCTTCAGGGCACCGGACTGAATACTCTAGCCACACCAGAGGCCAGCCTCAAGAGGCTTTTTCCCCTTAGTAGACTTTCTGGAAGCATGGCAACTTCTCTCAAGGACACATACTTCCACGTATCCATCCTTCATCAACACAGGAAGTTCCTGAGGTTTGCTTTCAAGGGCGAAGCATACCAATACCGGGTTCTTCCCTTCAGCCAGTCACTCTCACCCCACACTTTCAACAAGCCTGTGGATGCTGCCTTTCCTCCTCTCAGACTCCAGGGCATCCGCATACTGAATTAAATCGGTGACTGGCATGACTACATAAATAAACATAAATATAAACATACAACACTAGACGTAAGAACAATTTTTAGACCTACATAGCTAACTTCTGAAGCTAACTTCTAACTATACATATACTATAAATGGTTGACTATACATATCCATCAATTAGTGATGAAAAAAATTGCCGTGCTGGTGGAAAAAAACAAGAGACCATGCTACCGCGACTGTCAAGAGCGGCTCGACGGTGTTTAGTGTCCAGCAGCAGCAGCATGCATGCCGTCAGCGCAGCTGAAGAGTTCAAGTCAAGTCAAGACGAGCTTTATTGTCATTCCGCTACATGTGTGGACATACAGTGGAACGAAATGTCATGTCTGGCAGGACCACGGTGCTACATAAATAAACATAAATATAAACATACAACACTAGACTTAAGAACAATTTTTAGACCTACATAGCTAACTTCTGAAGCTAACTTCTAACTATACATAAATATACATAAATGGTTGACTATTCTTACACATAACCTAAGACAGACTACACAAGTACTTTACATAATAACTGTACATGATATTGTGCAAAAGAGGTATTTGAGGTTAAGAAGCAAGTAGTGCAATGTGATTTGTGTTATCTTATTAAGTCCTTGTAACATGGAGTGTTTATAAGAAAGTGTCTGGTGCATATAGAGAGAAAATAATGTGTTTCTACGGGTGGTTTGTCCAGCCCACTCACCTGTGTGTAGCACACTCAGAATTTCACACTGTTTTCCTTGAAACATGGAGTGGTTTTCCTTGAAACATGAGGTTTCAGAGGGGGTGAGGTGATTGGAATTGAAGGCTCCCACAGCCTGGGGGAAAAAGCTGTTGAGCAGTCTTGCAGAGTGGGCTCTGATGCTCCAGTACCGTCTTCCTGATGGCAAGAGCTGGAAGAGACTGTGGGAGGGATGGGTGGGGTCTTTCACGATACTGGTAGCTTTACTGGAGCATTGTGCAAGGAAAATGTCCAGAATGGAGGGGAGAGGGGCACCGATGACCTTTGCAGCTGTGTTCACTGTCCTCTGTAGGGTCTTGCGGTCAGCAGCACTGCAGTTCCCGAACCAGACAGTGATGCAGCTGGTCAGCACGCTCTCAATGGTTCCCCTGTAGAACGTGGTGAGGATGGGTGGAGGGAGACTTGCTTTTTTAAGTTGGCGCAGAAAGTGGAGCCGCTGTTGCGCCTTCTTGGAGAGTGATGTAGTCTTGGGGGACAGGTTGTTTGCACCACACCATTCAACCAGTTGTGCCACTTCCTTTCTGTAGGGTGTTTCATCATTGTTGCTGATGAGACCTACCACTGTTGTGTCATCAGCAAACTTGATGATGTGGTTGGAGCTTAACTTGGCAGTGTAGTCGTGGGTCAGCAGCGTGAAGAGCAGCGGGCTGAGCACACAGCCTTGTGGGGCACCTATGTTCAGTGTGGTAGTGCTGGAGGTGTTGTGGCTGACACGGACTGACTGAGGTCTTCTGATTAGAAAGTCCAGGATCCAATTACAGAGGGAGGTATTTAGGCTCAGCAGGTTTAGTTTGTTTATGAGCTGTTGTGGGATGATTGTGTTGAAGTCAATGAACAGCATTCTAACATAAGAGTCTTTGTTTTCTAAGTTGGTAAGAGCCAGGTGGAGGGTGGAGGAAATGGCATCGTCCGTGTAGCGGTTTGGACGGTATGCAAACTGGAGCGGGTCAAGTGTGTTGGGGAGATTGGATTTGATATGGTGCATGATTAATCTCTGAAAGCACTTCATCATGATTGGGGTCAGTGCTATGGGACGATAGTCATTCAGGCAGGACACAGGTGACTTCTTTGATACTGGGGTGATGGTGGTGGACTTGAGACATGTGGGGACAACTGATTGGCTTAGTGAGATGTTAAAGATATCTGTTAAGACATCTGTCAGCTGTTCAGCACAGTCTCTCAGTACCCGGCCTGGTATGTTGTCAGGACCTGCAGCCTTGCGTGGGTTAACCCTAGATAGGGTCTTCTTTACATCGATTGGAGACAGACAGAGCGCCTGGTTGTTGGGAGGGGTGGGTAGTTTTTGTGCAGGTTTGTTATTCTGCATTTCAAACCGTGCACTCATTGAGTGCATCTGGGAGGGATGTGTCGTCATCACAGGCCTGTGGCAGGGGCTTGTAGTCTGTGATGATCTGAATAGCTTGCCACAGACTCCATGTGTCCTTGCTGTCAGTGAAGTGATTATTGATTTTCTGTGCATAGAACCGTTTTGCTTTCTTGATGCGACGGGACAGGTTGGCTCTTGCTGTTTTGAGGACTGCTTTGTCTCCCGATCTGAATGCGTCATCACGGGTCTTTAGCAGCCCACGAACCTCTGCTGTCATCCATGGCTTCTGGTTGTCATGTGTGGTGATGTTCTTGTTGACTGTAACATCATCAATGCATTTTTTGATGTAAGCAGTCACTGTTTCAGTGTACTCTTGCAGGTCTGTGTGGTCATGGTAGGTGGCTGCCTCTTTAAACATGTTCCAGTCTGTGTCCTGGAAGCAGTCCTGTAGTGCTGAGGTAACATTGTCTGGCCATACTGTGATCTGCTTTTGGACCGGTTTGGCAAGTTTGAGAAGTGGTCTGTAGCCGAGATGGGAGCGGGGTGCAGCTTTGTACGCATTTTTTTCTGTTGTGTAAACCAAGTCCAATGTGTTGTTTTCTCTTGTTGCAAAGTTCACGTGTTGGTAGAACTTTGGCAAAACTGTCTTTAAGTTTGCGTTATTAAAGTCACTGGATATTATGAAAAAGCCATCAGGGTTGTTTGTTTGTTGCTCGTTGATAGCGCTGTACAGTTCGCGAAGCGCGTCTTTAGCATTTGCACAAGGGGGTATATACACAGCAACAATAACAATGACCGTGAACTCCCTCAGCAGATAGAAGGGTCGGCACTCCACAATTATAAACCCCACCAGCGACGAGCTGTGTAGTCCGACAGAGTCGAATTAGGTCCAGTTTATTTTCTAGTAAGCGTACATTTGACAGCAAGATTGTTGGAAGAGCTGGTCTTGTGGGGTTAACCTTTAGCCTAGCTCGTATGCCTCCGCGCTTGCCGTGTTTGCGTCCCCTCTCACACCGCTTGTGGCACCTCCTTGTGCGGGTAACAGCAGTAGGCAAGTCCGCGGTCTCAGGGTCTGGCTTCCGCAGTAAACAAAGGCCTCTTAGCTTCTCAGTAGTCACTGGTGATGGGTGATAGTTACATGCACTACCGATTTCCAGAAGACGCTGGCGATCGTAGACATGTTGCATTGTAGTTTTCTGATGTTTCTGTTTTTTTCCTTTTGAGGATGAGGAGACAAGACTAACTGACATTAAAACACCGTTTTTAGGACCCGGAGCAGCCGCTGCGTCTGACCGCGCCGCCATCTTGGAATCATCAAGAGTTCGGTTACACTTTATTTCGATAGTCCACTTTAGACATTCTATTAACTATAAGTAACTTTGTAACTACATGTCAACTAATTCTCTAGTGTTTTCTGAGTCTGTGTCGCAAGGATGAAGTTGCCGATCCTGAGTCGCCATCTCCTCATTAGACGCGCCTTTAAAGAGAAATGCATCTTTACGGATTATGATTATGATTATAATGAAAGAGTTTTTGTTTTCGGTTTGTTTTATTTCATTAAGTAGTAATGTAAAGCGTTCTATAGATATATTTATCATGTCTGTGAGGCATGTATTCGCTGAGTTTCGGTTCATTTTTGTAAAGCGCTCCTGTTCTAGACTGAGAGGGCAGAAAGCGCATCATGTTTTATTTTATAAAAGCACAACGTTTTGTTGATACTGTGAGTGCACACAAATAAAAGTAGTTACAGTTCTGAATGATGTATCACTCTTACCTTTATGAGCAAAAATTAAGGCATAGCCTATTTTAAGTTGTTTCCACTGAAAGAAAATGCAAGTGATCACGCTGGTGCCTCCAGGTCCTGCAAAGCGCACTTTAGCTTCCACTCTCCGCACAAATTTTTGGATATAGCGCACATTTATTTAGGTTTAACGTTTAAAAATTGTTATATGCTTGAACTGTTTTATATCTATAGATTTTATTTTAGGCAAGTTGTGATGATTTGAGAAGGCTAAATTGATCAAACACAGGCGATGATGAGACTGTCTGCCGCTGGCCGATTGGTCGCTACTTTAAAAAACAAAAACTTATATTTAACGAACAAAAAATGCTCCAAACGTTTTTCTAAATTAACTTAATAAAATAAAAATAAAAATGAAACAAAATATAATCACTTTGCAATTGCATACAAAAACTGAACTATTTTAATAGCTGAAACAGTAGTATAAGCTGTTTTGGGAGAATTGGAAAAAAAGACGAGCTCGGGTCGGGCTCGGGCCGGTAATTCCGATAAGCTGTCGGACACGGGCCGGGCTAGGGCCTGAGCGTCTCGGGCCAGGGCCGGGCTAGGGCCTAAATTTGAGGCCCGTGCAGGGCTCTGGCTGAGGCCACTTATTGGTGCGGACAACGACTGCAAGGTCAAGTCAAATACCCTGCTGGTATAGTTCTGGAGTTTTTGTAGGAGCGTTTCTCTGCAGGGTTATCTCCCTCCACTCTGAATATATGTGGAGGCCTTAGCTGCTTACCACGCTTCTCTGGGTGGTCAGTCATTGGGAAGAGACCTACTTGTAAACTCATTTCATCCGTGGCACCCTGAGGCTGAGGCCTGCACAGCACTCTAATGGCGCTTTTCCACTGCGTGGTACGACTCGGCTCGGTACGGCTCAGTACGGCTCGGTTTGCGTTTCCACTGCAGTTCAGTACCGCTTTAGAGTGGGCGGGATTATTCACATGTCGTTATAGTTGCGCCGCCTCTATTGCCGCGACTCCTAAAAAACGTTTTCATTCCGCGTCGCCCCATCAAGCTCTCACTGGATCCGCTCCTCTGCGATCAACAAGAGGAACGTCTGTACTTCCTCAGCAGAGGGAACAGACACTTTTTGGTTGTTAAAAAAAGGTGCGCTCGTTCAAAACAGTTGCGTTCTATGCTTCACTGGCTGTGCTGATTTAAATCTAGCGGTTCTTTTGTGTTTGTGTCGCAAGTTCAGTGACGCAGGTAGTGACGATACTCTCCGGCCAATCCGTGATCAGCAGAGTTTGCACGTCACGTTTTGGTAACGGTACGGTTCGCTTGGAACCCCAACCGAGGTGGTACTAAAAAAAGTACCAGGCACCAGGTACTGTACCCAGTGGAAAACCCCCCAAAAGTGAACCGTACCGAGCCATACCGTGCCGTACCATGCAGTGGAAAAGCGCCATAAAATACCAACCTGGGACTTGGTGATGGTTCTGGAGGGCCTGTGCAATGCCCCCTTTGAACCTATTGAGGAAGTGCCAGTGAAGTTCCTGACCTTAAAAACATGTTTTTTTTCTCCTTGCTATTTCCTCCCTTAAGAGAATAGGAGACCTTCTAGGAGACCACTCTCAGTCTTCAGATTTCATGCCTGAAATTTGCCCATGGCATGGTCATTCCTTCCTCCATTCTAGACCTGTGTATGTCCCTAAAGTGCCCACTAACACGCCAAGACCCATAGTGTGGCATTTGTCCACTTCTACAATTTAGATCTGGCTTCCTCCCCAGAATCTCAAGTCCTCATATCCTGAATTGTGTTTGCCTGCCACACACTGGACAGGGATTTTGTCATTCTGGCACAGTGGGCATTCTTGTTCCCATAGCATTTTGACGCAGCTTGAGTTCCCTGATGGGGAATGTTTTGGGTTACGCATGTAACTATGGTTCGCTAAGGGGAACAAGATGCTGCGTCTCTCTGCCATACTTCCTGCATCCCTGTCAGCGCTACTTCAGCTGTCAGAAGCTTACCAGTGCTGCTTTGGATGTGTTCTTATGCTTCCTGGTCGATTATGTCACCCCCGCCCGTGGCCGCTCCTTTCATGACCGATATCAGTGCATGAAAAGAATAAAGCAATGGATAAGCAATAGTGAGGCTGATGAATTAACATTTTATTTTTAAATAAAACTGCCAAAACATCATAAGACCACAACATAAATGGATGTTGTTACCTTTAAAAAATGATGGTTATTATGTTATGGCCACAACAAAACTAAGTGAACCAACATGTGCCTTTCCAGTCAAGATTGATATATAGGTAGACAAAGGACTTTATAGCTGCATCTAAAATCTGAACGCTAACTTCATCTGTTTGATTTTTGAAGGCAGCATACATGTATCATTCACTCCCTATATCTCACTACCCTGCAATTCCATTGAGCTGAAGGAGAAAATTAGCATTCTGGTAATTAAACAGAAGCTTGATAACCAAATCTCTCTCTATTGCATTGTAACTCATTAGACCATTATGCTGCCTCAAAAACCTGTCCAAATTTTTCAGAGCTACTGTACCTTTAAATGTAAACACTGCCTGCAAAGTGAAGACTTTTGACACTGTAAACCACAGAACTCTTATATCTAAATTATTAGGTTTTAATTTTCCTGTTGAGACTTTGAGATGGATTTAATCATATTTGTCCGGTCTCACACAGTATGTAAGCATACAGAATTATAAGTCAGCCACCTTAAGTATATCCACATATGTTCCCCAAGGATCTATTCTGGGTCCAATGCTTTTCACATTGTATATCAATGATCTTCCATCTGTCTGTCCCAACACAGTGACACAGTGATTTCTTTAGATTTATTCCTGATTATATGTCTACAGAGGCTGCTTTGATGTACAGTATGTACATTCCATGATTATTTCTCATATCACGTATTGTTTAACAACTTGGTCACAAGCAAGTATAACTACTTTGAAACAATTGGAATCTTTGTATAAACAATCACTAAAAACTCTTGATAAGAAATCGGTTCAGTTTCATCATTGTTAAAAAAAAAAAAAGATAAATAATAATAATAATAATAATAATAATAATAATAAAATACAATTTGCTAAGCTGGGATAACCTGATCAAATATGTAGATGTCCGTCTTATGTTTTAGACTATACATAGACTGACTTCACTATTAAAAATGAATATTACTACAACTGCTTATTGGTCCAGAAGGGGAAGGGGAAGGGAAAAGAGGGGACTGTATTATTCCTCTCAGAAAATGTAAATTTAGTCAGTCTGTATGTTCAGTCAAAGCTGCAAAGGAACATAACTCCATTCCATCAACAATTAGAAGACTTGATACATATGGTTATTTTCAATTTCATCTTAATGTTCATTGCCCCTGTAAACAAATAAACTAAAGTGACTGGCGTATAGAGCAGCAAGGCAACGAGTCAGCTGCCTACGTTTTCAGACGCAGCCTGTATTAATTAAATACATACACACTCATGTGCTTCCCTATGCCACAGTTTGCCAACCCCTTTGCTACATCTTAGTCCTCTCCGCGCTGTCTGGCGCATGAGGCAACAGCTAGTGTCCTCCACTTCGTTCTGTCTACCGCTGTCCTGGGGGCCGTCTGTAGAGTGAGCCCTCTTCTTTCCAGCTCTTTCTCAATTGTTCTTCGCCATGTTTCTTTCGGTCGCCCGCGGTTTCTTTTTCCTTGTGGTGTCCATTGCAAGGCTATTCTGAGTAGTGAGTCAGCTGGCATGCGGCAGACATGACCAAGCCACCTCCATCGGCGTGACTGGACTGACTCTTGCACTGACTTTACTCCAGTCCTGTCCCTGATGTCGTCGTTGGAGATGTTGTTCGGCCAGAAGACTCTGAGAATCCATCTTAGGCACTTATTCTGAAAGACCTCCAGCTTTTGCTCGATGGCTACTGTCGTCTTCCAGCATTCTGAGCCATAGAGAAGAACACTCAAGACACTGCTCTTGTAGATCCTGATCTTGGCGTGAAAGCTCAGGTTTGTGGATCTCCAGACTGATTTGAGCATGGCGAATGCCTGGTTTGCCTTACTGATTCTGGCATTCACTTCAACATCGTAGTCACCATCTGCTGTTATTTTACTGCCCAGGTAGACAAACTCCTGCACGTCTTCCAAGGGTGTTCCATCTATGTTGACAGGAGTATTAACTGTGGCATTTTTCCTCATGACTTTAGTCTTCTTGCTGTTGACCTTTAGCCCGAAGGTACTGGCTATTTTGCCAAGTTTTTCTGTCTTCTGCTGAATGTCCTGATGCTTGTGAGCTAGCAGACCAAGGTCATCGGCGTAGTCCAAGTCCTCCAGAAGCAAGGTCAGGGTCCACTGGATGCTTTGACGCTTTCCTTGGGTGACGCTACACAACAGCCAGTCAATGGCCAGGGAGAATTGGATTGGACCAGTTTCTTCGGAATGCCATATTGTCGTAGAATATTCCAGAGTGATGCACGATGCAGACTGTCAAAAGCGATGAGCACGAGGTATAATGGGCTGTTCCTTTCATGGGACTGTTCTAGGATCTGGCGTAGAACGAAGATGTGGTCAATGCATGACCGTTCTTTCCTGAAGCCAGCCTGTTCTTGCCGAAGGATGCCATCCACCACTGCTATGATGCGCTGCAGTATGATAC